CGCAGTAAACAGGGTCTTGTGTTTGTGGCTAACTTGCTTTGATGTCAGCAACATCGCTGCTCGCTACCTACTGCATACACATGCCCTGTGTGACTTCACTCAGCTTTCAGGAGACAGCAGGAGCAGGAGAAGCATTCTGAGCACTGTGTATTAAAGCCGACCCAAAAATTGCTCAACATTTCATCCACACGTTTTGTGTTAAATTGTAATTATACATTCTCTCTGTCTCTTTACTATACTGAAGATGGAACAGCGAGTTGTTCCAAAAAATTTTGTGACCGCGTGTAAGACTACACGATATCACGGCCCAGAATACCACAATTTGAATTTTTTCTGCCGAAAAAATTTCGTATCTCAAAAAGATTCAAATGAATTCGTCCTCAGATAATACTAATATGTTTCCCTTAAGAAAAGAAATGAAGCTCCAGAGACATGTAACAGGACAGATAAAATTATAGTTTACAGGCCCATATTTTAATTATTGCTTTTTTGATTAGGTAGGGAGAAATAAGATATTTTGGTATAAGAACCCTAAAAATTCAACACCGCTAACAGCGCGATACTGGACACGCAGATAAATAACAGGAACACCGAAATATAATATTAGTTCAGACATTTCATTTGGCTGACCTCTAAACATGAGTTTCCTCGTCTGATATGATCCCCGTGATTGCGTATGGATCCCAGGATTCTTGTCGCCTCTTCCCACCCTGTCAGTACAGCTGAGTGAGGAAGCAATCGGCGGTCAATATCCGCCCCCACGTCGTAGTCATTACCGCCTGACCAGCGTCCATGCAGAGCATTCATTTCCAACCCCAGTGTCATTTTTGGAAAGACGAAAAATCAAAATAAATGCAAACAAACAGGAACACGATGCATCAGACTAAAACAGGAAGTAATTGTTGCTGATTGTAATCAGTGATAATGATGACGATAATCATGATGGTCAGTTGTTCACCTGATGGTACCTCAAACCCAGCTTTAATGGACGTAAATATTAGCCAAGGCAAGCAGGTACGCTCAGAAAATACATAGACTTTCAACAGCAGAGATAGATGTTATATAGGCCAACGAAATGAATAGCTTGGTGAGTGCTTCAGGCCACCTGGTGTTTAACCCTGAGGACGCGGGATGATGGGCAAATAATTTTTATTTAGAGGTTGGCATTGGAAAATAAGTCTATAGTACTGAGATGGATCCAACGAAAATAAGTTATAAGAAAGGAAGCTAGTTATAAATGGCTTGAGATCGTGTCCAGTGGCTGGCTTTGGTATTAGCGGTGTTGAATCTTCGTGTTTCTTCAGATGTCCAAATCCACTCCCCCCAAATATCTGCTTTAATTGGCGTTAAAGTATAGGTACTGTTTACATTCGTCTTATTACCATTACAAGCGAATTTCTTTATGTTTTCGTTTTATTGAGTTACGTCACCTTGCTGATTTCTGGCAGCAGAACATCATAGAGCAGTGTAGAGGCGAGCGTCGCCATATTGTAATTGTGTAGTGTATAGTGTCCAGTGGACTGGGACGCAATAACGCACTTTGCTTTGACGTACATACGCGTTTGTTCAAAAGAGCTGGCAGTTGATCCACAAAGACGAGAGTTATCCCGTACAGTGCTGACATGTGACAGCTCATCTCTCTATTACTGAGCGCCGCGTCCAAATAACTCACCTGCGCGGTGAGGCAGCCAAGCTCGTAAGGTTTAGAATTAAATTAGTGCGTTGAAAAACTAAGTGTACCGAAAATGAGACAAGTTGTCGGGTTACAATTGGCCCATAGCGATGATTGTCTCACCCATACAGTAAACAATAAACAACATTCACGCGTCTAAAGTTAAAAAAAAGCACAAATTAAATGAAATGGTGTCTCTTTACTCAGGACTGATTTTGAAATCAACACAGCTGGTTCACCAGGCGGTAACACCTTATGTATTGCAGCATATAACAATATGGTAAATGAAGTTAATATCATATACTTCCTAAACACTCCGAAAAATAAATTCATTTGCAAGAATAATGTTTTAATGATGTCGTGCGGTGCCCGAATTTATAACTTGTGTTGGGCAAGGCCGTGGTCTAGGCAACACGGAGTTTTCCTCCGTGGCATCCCAACAATTACTCCATTCACACACAGAAGAAGGCAATGGCAAACCACTTCTGGATCATCCGCCAAGAACGTATATGAACAGGTCCCAATCCG